GAAAAAAGATTACTTCAGGTCTAAAGTACAATTTTTTCAAAAAATGTGATGGAAATTAATAAATTTTCAAGATAATTCAGATTTGATATGCAGTAAAATGATCTTTCATAGATTCCTTACAAGAAACTATTAATTAAAGTAATTAGTTACAGCATTTACGATTTGGAGGGAGTATTTGAATTTAAATGAGAGAAAAAGAGTAGTGAAAAGTTGAAATGGGCAAGGTGGCTGAATCAACCGAAACAATTCAGAATTTTTACTTCAAATAAATTTTTTTTAGATAGAAGAAATAGTTTTTACTTTTGCTATTTGAAGTAACAAGTTTCAATGCATTACAAATTGTAGAAAACAACTATTATGCAACAGAATCAACTAAATTATTTCCAAAATTATGCTTCAGAAGGCCTACAGATAATATCTTTACTTTAAAATATAATTTATAATTTTTAAATTTAATCTCGACCTGATTGTCTTTCAGACAAATTTAATTGCACAATGCAAACATACTTGATTTGAAATGTAAACAAAAGTAAGTAAAATATTCAACAAATTTTAATCAACTCACTTATTTTACTAATAATTAAATTTGGAAATAATAGATAATTAATTACGAAGGATTTCCGATTGTTTTGACTGCACTTTCAAATATCTCTCCAAAAAGTTGACTCTTTACGAGTACTCAAATACTCTGATAGATCAAATTTTTTCCTTACATTACTGTTTGTAATTGAAAGTGAATTCTCTTTACCTTTTTCAGATTTTGTTGGTTTGCTTTCTTCTTCTTCTGATGAGCATAATGTCGTCAAAATAGCCATCGATGATGACGTTCTTAAAAATTGTATTATTATCTTAAAAATATAAATTTGAAAAATGAACGGATTAATTAATTTATTAATATTTCTAGATACCTCATATATGACTAAAGAATATGCTTCTCTAATACTACAACCAATATTCTATACTTTTTAAGCAGTTAACTTCAAGACTGAACTTTTTTAGACTCCAATACCTCCTCTCACATTTTCACTAATATTCCACTCTAACACACTTTTGTGCCTTACTAATGGTGAAAAAAGTACAGAATATTATTACTAGAAGTTGCTTGTTATGAGCAGATATTTCTAAAAAGAGTTACTGTTATATTCTGAATAAACTTGCCTTACCTTATCTAATTTATCCTTCCATAATCCCTTCTAGCGATAAAATGTAACAAAAGTAAAAGTTTACGAGATGGATATTAGCTTACTCAGAATTGTCCAAGACTTGACTATATTCCATGTGCAAATTCTTCATTCTGTCTTCTTCTTCTTCTTCTTCTATCTCTTTTTTCTTCTTCTAAAAATGAATTCCAAAAATTGCTTACACTAACAATTTGAAACAAACAAATTATGCAACGAAAATTATCCATTCAATTGGTACTATTTTTTGTCTATAATTCATAAGCCATACAAAATAATTGATAAAATTAATCAAATTTAAATTTTACCCCAAAATCTGCATCAATTTTTTCTATTCCCAATGTTGTTGGCGGCGGCAATTTTTCTCTCAATTTTTCTGCAAAATAAAAAATAATATTGATAATTTTTGATGAATTCGCATAACTATTAATTATTTCACCTTCATCTTTCAATTTTTTTCTCATACGCCTCCGTAATGGTCTCTCACGTGATCCAGTCCGTTCCTCGTTTCCGGAGGAAGAATCTGAATCTGCTAGCACTTGATTTCGTGAATGATGACGCATTGCTAAAAATTGCATATATCAGTTAATAATTCAACGCCTAATCATTTTTAAAGTGCTCTATAAAAATAAATTAATTATTAACTGTGATGTTTTGCTTTGAAAGCGGAAAAGTTTAGTACAAAAATTTGTTATTTTTTGTAATCTTTATAATTGTAAGGATAAAAGTTAGACTGAAGCACTGGTATCAGTAATAGGGAAGAATTACTTCGTTCTCTGCTCGATAATAGTCGACGGCTTGATTCACGTCCACGGCTATTTTCAGATGTGTGTGAGTTTAAAGGCAATTTAGATAATACAAATTCTTTGGCGTATTCATACAAATTATTAGTATTGGACTGTTCCGGAAAACGCAAAGGTTTCGCTATCAAATCGCTAAAAATCGAGAAAAAAAAATACAGAAATTAGCAGCAAATAAAATTTAATAGGATCTAATTGTATTACTGAAACTTTTCATTCTTTTACTATTTAATAAAAAGTTAACTTACGTTGAAAACGAATTGTATTTGGATAGAAGTGAATACGTATTTTGTCTGAATCGAGTAGGTGAATAACTTCTGTAAGCAAAGTTTCTTTTTTCAGTACTCAAAAAATTGACAAAAATAACTTATAGAAGCGAACTATCAAAAAGTATTGTTATTGAATGCTATTTGTCAGATGAAAACTGCAGGAAAAGAAAGTAAGCACCTGGATATGCATCCCGCGAACTCCAATGCATTCATCCGAGATGAGTATAAGTCACGCATGGGAACGTATTGATTAGTGGATGAAAGCAGATTTTTCACTGAATATTTATCGGAAAAGGTTGAAGAAGATTCGCGTGATGGAAGTCGATTGTTGCGTCGAAATAATCCCTGAAAGATATTTTGCGAAAAATTACCAATACATGCTGATGGAAATAAAAAATTATTGTGTTATATATAATCAAAATATTTTTTTAATAAAAAAATTTTGCATTTAGCTAGGTTTTTTATTACAAAACAATGCTGACAAATTTTAACCGTAGTTCGATCATCAATTAAATTTTTCAGTGCATTAATTGAGTTGCGTAAATCATCCCCACTGTTACTTCTACCATTACGCTGACTGCTAATATTGTTACGACGTACTCGTGCTGCGGTAAGTGTTGAGTGCATTGTTTCACTCGCTTCATTTCCCTGAACATTACGTAAACGCGCTGAGTCAGCCATACGCTGGCGCCAAGGACGCTCCGTTTTAAGCGTATTGTAACTGCTGTAATATAATGATGTAGAATGACATAACTTCCAATATCTGATCTTAATTTTAATATAAGCAAAGTGTTTAATACAGTTTTACCTATTACTACTGCTTTTGATCATTTGTGGCGCATCTATGGATAATGCTTTTTCTCGAAATGATGTCAGAGGTGTTGATGATGTGTTTCGTACTGATGATTGATTTGTTCGTGATGTTGACGCTGAGGATGGCGTCCATTCTGAATTTCAAAAAAAAGTCTATTAAAAATGTAAATATGAATGCAGGATAAATCATTTAAAAAATAAAATCAAATAGTACACAGGGATTAATTATTCTCTTGACTGTAAAAGATTTCCGAGATTCATTGATTTCAAAATCAGATCAGATCAGAGATCAAATCAATGAGTAAGCTGTAACTGACTTAAAGTCAAAAGATTGATTCTCTGAAGTTATTTACTGATAGTTAAAAACAACTTACTACTACTAGAAGCAAAGGCATTTTCGCTAGAATTCCTCAGTGAACTGCTATAAATTGTGCTTCGATGACTGCTTGCTGTAATTATCTTTCAGTTACTAACAGATATTACTTTGCTCTCTAATTTCTTTTCTAATTAGATTACTTAACTTCAATAGTTATGCAAGCAAATTTAAGCTAATGCTAATTAAGTTGCATGCAAATTTTTACTCTTAATATAAATGCAAATGTTTTTATATTATTCTCTTTTTAAGACTACTAAATGTCATCGATATAATACATAGTGCAAATTATATCAGCAAACGATAGATAATTCATTAAATTTGCTTTGAATTAGAGTAAATAAGTTAAGTACGTTAATATATTAATGATAAATGGTAAAAGATAACAAACAAGCATCAGAAAGCCAAGAAGGTCGAGATGATGTTCGACTTGTTAATTGATTACTCATAGTTGATGTTAAGGAATCTCTGAACTTCGCAGAACGTTCTTTTACAGATGGATTAGAGCTCCTGTAACTTTTTTTGAATTTAAAAATGATATTTAAAAAATGACAGATATTGTTTGATTTTTAAAGCAAGAAAGATCAATCACTGCTTTGTTGAGAATAATTTTTCATCTAAAATAAAGTAGTAATACAGTTAATTTATTAGAGGTAAAGAGCGTATCAAACTAATCTAACTTTTGCTAAGTCCTAATTTTTTCAGTCTTAAAGGAGCCGAGTCAAACAAACTTAGTTAGTGTAAAGTAAAATGCACCTGTTGTGCCGAGATTTTATCATACATTCTTAGTACTTATTGGAATGCAAAAGAGATAACTTTTTGAAAATTGTTGGAATTTACTGAATATATGTAAATAAATACGAAACTTAAAAACTTAGTTTCAAGTTTGTATTTTCTTTATCACTTTGGTATTTAAATTAAAACACCAAAAGTCAAAAGTATTCATTTCAAGCACTCTTTACGCAATAGCAAAAGACAGGTCCGCGCCTTAAATAATTTTTAATTCTGTTATTTTTTTTAAATATCTTTAATTAAAATGCTTGGAAGTACGACATTATTTCTAACAATTTTATTAAGTTTCTTAAAAAACTTAATATATTTATTCAAAAACCTTTAAGAAACATTTATTATGACTTTTAAATATATTAGACGTAATAAACTTTCAAGATCATTATTTTTCATTAGGTTTCTCAAAGATCTTTTAAATAAATGCATCAAGTTGGAAATGAAATGATATTATTAAGATGAAATGGAAGCAGTGAAATTGAAACCTGAATTCCATGTTATTAGTAAAACGAGGTTGTGACCCGAAATGTCTCTGATGTGATGTTGGATAAGAAGTGTGATGAGCATAATCTTTAGCTACAGAAGAGGCCAACGACGTGTAAAAACGACTTCCATGGCTTTTTCGGTTTTCTCCGCTCTCGTTTGTACGCAATTTACTCCAACGTACTGAATTCCAGCTGCAACTTTTTTTATAGTAAATGATTTTTGCAAATAAATAAATAACGTGAAATATTGCTTTTCACTATATTAAAATTGCTCATTATTTTAATTTATAGAAGAAGAGTGAAAGGTTAGAATGCAAGTTTTAAGTGATGACTAATTTGCGGCAGCAGTGAATCTGAAAAAATAGAAAGCAAAAAATAGAAAACAATTTTTCACGCTGATATAAAATGACTATTATAAGTAAGAATAATTGAAAATAGGAATCGATTTCAAACATTTTATCAAAAAAATGCTATTGATAAAATTTTTAAGGAATGCAAACTTTCAAATAGCATTTGAAAGTAGTAATTACCAAGGAAATAAAAAGTT